ATGCTATAACAAATCTAATTGGTTCTAGAACCTTGTTCATTATAGCATTCGTTCGTTATAGGATTAATCCGTTCCAGGCCCCCAAATACAACCACTTAACACTGAAAAATATAATATAAAATTGTAAAAATTATAAAAAAGTGCATAAATATGCATCTAAACCCCTGAAATAAAGAATATCATTAATATTTGTAATAATAAAACAATAAATTAGAAAAAAAAAAATTAAATTATGTTCGTTGTAGGAGTTTCGTTCGTTATAGCATTCTCAATTTTATAGGTAAAACCGTTCGTTATAGGAATATTCGTAGTAGGATCCGTTCGTTATAGCATACCCCACTGTACCCACCTAACATTCTCGGGTAATTTTTATTGTATCCACTGTTTCTTTTGTTTTTTTACGGGGATTAGCCCATCCGGGCACAGGTCACTGACCCACATCGGGGCCGGGGGGGGTAATAATAATAATAATAATAATAATAATAATAATAATAATAATAATAATAATAATAATAATAATAATAATAATAATAATAATAATAATAATAATAATAATAATAATAATAATAATAATAAAATTTATACTAAAAAATATAAAATATAAATATTAATAATAGCTGCAATAATAATAAGAATCATAAAGAAATACAAATATGAAAAAAATCAAAAGTGAGAAACAATATACAAGTACTGTACAGTATGTATGTTGTGTTGTCAAAGTAATAGAAACAATTGAGACCCTGCAATTGTGTGTAAAGGAGGCAGAAAGTCAGATCAGCAACCTGGGACTTGGCCATAATTTTCGTGATGCCATATAGAAGCAGAGTCTACCATTAGACACTATGTACATTATGCTTCCAATATCTTCCCAGGCGGTAGTACTTCCCTGTTTTCATTGTATCCACCAAGCGTTATTCGAATTTCAGAAATGACCATTTTGTCCCCAGTTACCAACAAATGATTACCATGATTCAATTGATTTTGTTTTGCTTATTAAATAATACATATATTTACTATACCCCTATACTACTTATGCATAGTCTTAAAAAAATGGCAATATGACAGCAGCCAGTTTCAGAAACGTACACCAGCTCACTAACCGACACTATTTCAAGTTTAAAATTTGTAAACCCAAAGAAAAAACCATTAGGCCAAAACATGAGTGTAAGAGATGCACAACATCCAACCCCGTCTGGTCAATGAGATATGCTAGAGACTGTCAGTTGTTTGAAAATGTAGACAAAATAGGACCACCAGAATGGTGCCTGCACTATGGCACTTTAGTTACCCAGAGAGATTAGAATGCCTGCAGTTGCCTAGCTTATACTATAGAGTATAGACGGACATGAGGTGACTTAATTGAAGTTTATAAATATCTCAGAGGGCACTACAGTATTTAGTAGTCCAGAAAACTGTGAGGGCAAGCTTTTTCAGAGTGAGAATTGTGAACTCTTGGAACAATCTGTCAGAGAGTGTTGTGACGGTACCGAGTGTGAGCTCTTTCAAAACCAGACTTGACCAATACTGGGACAGGTACAGATACTGTACATTCTGGAGCCAGTACAGCACATGCCCAAAACTTACCAACAGTGTGAAACAGAGACTCAGTACACATGTGCATAGAACCTACTTGGAAGGTTTGATGCATGGCACCAACATTTAAACACCTCACTTACAATGAAAGATTAGGGAGTGTCCAATTTCCTCGTTTATACAGTACTGTACTATAGAGGGCAAGGACAAATTTAGTTAAGTTTATAACAGCCTCAAAGGGCATTATTTAGTCATATGTACATATCTGGAGTTACCAGATGTTCGCCCAATAAGAGGTTCTAAAACAGCTATAAGAAATACAGTACAGAAAACTGTCAGAGCTAACTTCTTTGGAATGAATTTGTGATCTCTTGGAGTAACCTGCTAGAGAATGTTGTGTCAGCACCTAGCATGAGCTGCTTGAAACCAGACTTGACCAATATTGGTACATGTTCAGGTACATTCAAGAGCCTGTACATGCCCAGTATATACTTGTCAACAGTATGTAAAAAACAACAGACTGACTGCCAGACATGCTACTGGGCTGACAAGTGGTGAAAACAATAAATCAAATCAACTCAGAAAAAGATAAGAGTGATTTACTCAATGGTGTGTCATTTATATACAGTACTGTGTATGTACTTTAAGAATCTACACATTTCCTTTAAAGAAACTGTTAAAGAATTGTAAACAGAAGTTTTCAATATGCAACACAGATGCTTCTTTTCTTTTCTTTGGTTCCATGAAAATAGTAAAAAGAACCCCTCAAACTCATGTCCGTGCCTTGTTAAGACATAAAAAAATACATATACTGTACTGTACCGGGTGTACTGTCACTGATATGTATGTACCCCTATGATATTGTACACTGTCTGGTACTGAACACTACTCTTCATAAGGCTATTGTGCTCCTTCTAAAACAAAAATATGATCCTATTTCAGTGGCTTTAAACTGTGACACAATTCAATTTATGTGTCTTTATATGCACAAGTTTATACATACAAAACTGTACAATATAGGCTGTGGATATTTGTCAGCTTGTCTGTTAGGTAGTTTGTTTTTTTAGAATAACACGAGAAGAAGTTGATGAAAATGGATGAAACTCTATGGAAACGTTATTTACAATCAATTGAATCGATAAATGGAAACAATAATGCACAGAACCTATTAGAACTTTACCTAACCTAACTACCCCAACTTACCAGAAAAACCTTTTAAAACATACCTAACGACACTGAATAGATTCCCATTTCCATTCATTAATTTAATAGATAGTAATTATCATTTCCACAAACTTTCGTCCAATTCTATCAACTCCTTATGGTGTTAGTCTAAGAAAACCCAACCTAACCGACAACCGGGCCAATATCCACAGCATTTAATATATGCTATACTGCAGGGAAAATAAACCGCACTTAACTATGGTTAATTTTCAATGCACATTTCACCTTAACATTTGTGCTGATGCATAGACTGTAAATGCTGTGGAGGCGGTCCCACTAATTACCCAAATGAACCCAAATGTACCCAAATGTAGCCACAATGAAGTCAAATGATGGTCATACAAGAGTAAATCGGGCTGTGAATCACTTCTCGATTAGTATTTGGTGGCATAAAGTCACACAAAATTGGTAAACTTAATTTAATCTGAGATAGGTTGGGTTAGGTTAGGTACATGCACTCGATCTATTAACTCAGGTTAAATTAAGTTTTCCAATTTTTTGTGACTTTGTGACATCAAATACTAGTCGAGAAGTGATTGGCAGTCCGATTTACGCTTGTATGACCATCATTTGACTTCATTGCGGCTACATTTGGGTTCATTTGGGAAATTAGTCGGACCGCTGTGGAGGACCGAGGATACAGTTAGAAGACAAGCAGAACCAACAGTAACTGTTTCCTGCCTCCTCCACTGATCTCTATACTGTACTATGCATTAAAAGAAGCATTTTAATGAACTTCCCATGGAAAAATATAAATAAATAAGCATCAGCCTTTCTTACGGTAATTTTACCATGTCAGAGATGCCATGAACCCCTCCCCCTTATCACACACACCCAATTTTTCTAACATGTGAGGGGTGACACAGTAAACACAATTTATTAACAAATAAAGTGCCATAACCTGCCATGAAGTACAATGTAATAAACAATTACTGTACATTTATTTTAATGGGATCCATGCTATCTAAATGCCGAGATAAAATCTTTTTCGAGGCCTTAACTGTGGCTTCATTATTTCATATATTTTGAAATGACAATTATGAAACAATATATGGAAAACAAATGCGGGTTCAATAACTCTGGTGAAACAACCTTTACAAAAGATCTCTGACGTAGACTTACTTCACTTGAGTTACGTCATAGAAAGCGAGCTTTTATACAAGGGTGTTTAGACCGATCACAAGACGAAACAAACCAAGTTACATGTATCAGTGAATGTTGTAACAATAATGAGACACTTACATTGTCTGTGTTGTCGGTGGTCATCCTCATACAGCAGTGGGTGAAGGAGCAGCAGGAGGCAGTACACACACACACACTCTCACACACCCTGACAGATCACACTGGTGGTCCTCAACATCGTCTGCTCCTCGAGATATTCCCGCTACATCTGTTGAATAAAATATTAAGTATATCCTCTTACACCAAGTTATGATTTGTTCCTTTGAAATAGCTTTATTAGTAAGAACACTTACTTATAATGTACACATTATATTTATTTCATATATTTATATGTTAAACAATGAGTATTTTTTGTGTTAAAATTAAATATTGGAAATGTTTGAGTTTACCAGATGATTGTGAGAGAACGAGGCAGACCATCAGCTGATATAGTGTAAACAAACCCGCCGGGAGGAAGGCACTGGTTGTTACTCTACTCTAATCCATTATAACATTTAGGTTATAGTCTGTTTTAATCACCTCGGAAATTTACATGATCTTTTATTCCTGATTATGAGCTTATACACAGGTGTATGTGTTTGTTGTACGATCTAAGACCAAGTCTGTATATTTGTCTGGCCAGCGGCATGGACGGGGTCCGACTAATTATCCAAATGTAGCCACAATGAAGTCAAATGATGGTCCTTCAAGAATAAATCAGATTGCCAATGACTTCTTGACTGGTGTTTGGTGTCACGAAGTCACAAAAAATTGGAAAACCTAATTTAATCTGAGTTAATAGATCGCGTGCTTGTACCTAACCTAACCTAACACAACTCAGATTAAATTAAGTTTACCAATTTTTTTGTGACTTTATGACACCAAATAATAATCGAGAAGTGATTCACAGCCCGATTGACTTCATTGCGACTACATTTGGGTAATTACTCGCTCCCTCTGTACATGCAGATTAAAGTAAGTTTTCCAATTTTTTGTGACTTTGTGACACCAAATACTAGTCGAGAAGTGATTGGCAGTCCAATTTATTCATGTAGGACCATTATTTGACTTCATTGCGGCTACATTTGGGTAATTAGTCGGACCGGCATGGACTGGTTTATGGTGTATACAGTACATAATCCTTAGGATGAGTGATTAATATTAAATGGTTGAATTTTTAGCCAAAGGATTAGAAGACAAAAAGTCGGTCCACAGTTTTGAAGATGGACATCCGAGGTTTGGTAGGGAGGTGTGAATGGCAGAAGAATGGTCGTGCACTAATCCCTGTTCTTCCACCCAACCAAAGCTGGGTAACTTAACTAGTAAACTTATAAAAGTAATGATAAAATTATCCCTATGAAACTTCACAATCATATCAACAAGTTTCACACAGTGTCAGTGTGTAGTTAAACCATTAAAGAAACAGATGACATGATCCAATCAAAGCAACCTTAGCCAAATCATTGCAATAATCTTGCTTCATCAGTAAATTTTAATAATTCACTAACATATGATTGTGGTAGATATTGAAAATATTCTTTATATTTCAGACAAACGTGATGATTTTTTTGCCTCTTCACAAGTTTATATGCCAGAGATGTATGGCATCACAACTTTCTAATCACACCTGGATGTCAATCATTAACAATCGCCAGTTCAATACAAATCACAATTTACAGAATGTTAGAAAATCTGTTTCCAAGCATGTCAGGTCTGACACATCCGGTGGATTTGGACACAAAGGTAAGTTATCCTGTCTCTAATACTGTACCATTCATGTAGCTTTTACTGGATAAAGGTTAAGATTGAGCTGCCACCTTTTTTTTTGTGATTGGATCTTTATGATTATAAAGTAACTGTTTAAATTCTTAGGCTGCAAGTGAGGTCAGGCAGAAAAGGCAAAACAGGTGTGGATTAGTTAAGTTAATGTTAAAAACAACAATTCCCAGGGAGACTTCAGAGTTAAACAGATCACCAGTAATGACAGCGGACATGACCCAAATAACCAGATCTAATCAACCTGACCTATACAAAAATTACCTAAAAATAACCTAAAGTTGTTTGGTGTCAGTGTTATATGCCACCATTAACCCCTTTACTCTGGGGATGCCACTTTTGATATTTTATTTGTCTAATGCCAGACAGTGGCTTAGCTGTCATCATTTTTCATCATAAATTAAAATGAATTCAGTAAAATGGAGCTTTCCTCCACTCCAGCCCTTATTAAGTTTAACGTCAGAGGCACGTATGCAAAACAAAGTTAGCCAGCACAAGGCACTTTTAAGCAAATATCCTGCTGATAATGTGGCAAACATCCCTATACAAAATGAAATTGTACTTTTTCTTCAAAATGATTATATTTTGGGTAAAAAAAATTCCGTAATTTATTATTTCCCTTAGGGCGAATTTCTATTAAATGAATGGCTGTATGTCATTTTCTCTGAAAGATCATATAGTTATTTCTTGTCAATACATTTTTTTATTCATTATTCCTCTATGCTCACACACTATGTAATTCTGTACAGTATTGTGTTGGTGGTAAAACAGTAACATCTCTCTACTGTGTCCTGGGTTCAATCCCCGGCATGGTACAGATGTGAGAGAGGTGTTGACCAGTGTGACTCTATCAAGCATTGTTGGTTTTCTCTGGGTACAGTAATCTGATTTCTTCCTGTGCTAACAAGACAGTGAAGGTCATAAAGTAGTGTACAGTAACAAAGAACAGACCAACGTGCTGAATGGATAGTAAGCTTTTAAATGGTGAATGATAAATAAATATTGTTTCTGTGATTCCCGTACTTGTAAGGTTCATGTTAGTCTCTATTGTTCCCTGGCTGTTTAACAGCACTGTACTGTATATAGTAACTCTTATTTGCAGCCAAGGAAGCCACACGTACTACATATTACACAGCTGTTGTAGTGCTCGGAGTGGGGGTGACCGGCCTCATGATGTACTCAGTCTTCAAGGAACTTCTCTTCTCCTTCTCACCACAAGTATGTGTGTACTGTATAATACTGAACATAATAACTCAAACAAAGGAAGGGAATTGAAACAAATGTTTAACCATTTAAAGTAGTTTATTGAAGTCTCTCGCTGCAGCAAAGTTCAGGAAGCTGTCCATAACTCTGGACAATGTCTGACAATTATGATTACTGAACTACAGTACAGCACTGTACTCTTATAATTCTACATCTCACCATTATTATCCAGCGTTATGGCCTCGGGGACTTTTCAGCAGTGAGGTACCATGCCACCTGTGATAATTTTTTTCATTTCACTTAATTTAAAAGGTTCAAGTTTTATAGCATTTATAACTAACCAGTATGTAAAGATAATGGGATTTTTTTCTGCACTCTGATCACTTTTAACTTGTTGTCTGCTGCTGTACGATACAGTCCAGTACAGCACAGTACAGTAGTTGATTCTAATTATCAGTTATTGTATCTTAGAAATTAAAAGAAAAAAATCAAGAATGTTCTCAGATCACCGAGCTGCTGCCTGACCTGTACTACTTCTACTGTACTTCCCTCTCGGTTACCTTCTATGCCCTTGATGCAGCCTGAGCATAACTTCTCTTGACTAATTCCCATATCTTATCAACTGCTTCTTCAGCCTTATTGAGATGCATTTTTTCAACTTGCTCTAATTAGGTAACCACTAAGGATCCAACTTCCAATATTTTTAACTCAAACTTTCTCTTTCCTTTATGCTCTGCAGTAGTCTTGTTGCCTTTCATGTCACATTCGAGGCAATACCAGTGACAGTTTGTAGTCTATGCTGAATTTATCAGTGTCCTGAATCCCTTACTGTCCTCAACCACACAATATTAATATACCTTTACTTTATTTATAACAAAAGGGTATCATGACTTTTACAAATAATGTAAGCCATTTGGTATTTTTTTTATTTAGAAATACAACTTACCTGTTCAAGTATTAATCCACTTACCCTTCCTGATTTTCAATACCATATTTTATATGTTAGTACTAATTGTATTCTTTCATACAGTGAAACGTCTACTTACCGGACTAAATGGAGATGAAAGTCTGTTATGTTGAGGGTCCGTTAGATGTGAAACTCCTTATCTAATGGGTTATATGAATATAGAAGTCCATTATTTGGAGGTTTCACTGTACTGGTACTGTATTAAAACCTTTGTGTATAGTGATTTGATTTTCAGTGCAGTACAGTAACATGTATGTATTATACTTGCAGACAGTATATAGTGCTGCTGTTGAAAAGTGTGTTGCCCATCCAAGGGTCAATGATTACCTTGGTGATTCAGTCAAGAGTTATGGTGAAGAAAGTCGGCGTGGGCGAAGGCAGCATATCAGGTGAATACAGGGGGTTCCCTACTTATGAACGCCCGCTAATACGAACTGGGTTAAACTTTAAATTTACAGTATACAGTAGTATTTTATTTACCTGATGACTTATTTTTTACTTTTATTTACTGTATTTTGGCATTCTATTTCTTCTTTTGTCTTAAATTAAGTGATTTTAGATGTATATAAGGACTTAGGCCATGCTATAGTGGGATTTTAAACATTATTCTGTCAGTACAGTATGCACACAGTATGTGTTCTGACTTACATATAAATCCGACTTAAGAATGTCCTCAGGAATGAACATAAGAACATAAGAATGGAGGAAACTGCAGCGGGCCTATTGGCCCACACTGGGCAGTCCCTTTTACACCCAACCCATATTGCTCATATATCCACCCAACCTATGTTTGAAGCTATCCAGCGGATTCAAGTTAATGATGATGTTCCGTAACTTGTTCCACTCATCCACTACTCTATTTCCAAACCAATATTTACCTATTTTGCGCCTAAATCTAAATTTGTCTAATTTAAAACCATTGTTACGAGTTTGCTCCTGGTTGGATAGTTTGAGTAACTTTGTTATGTCCCCTTTGTTTAGCCCTGACTTCCATTTAAGCACCTCGATCATATCGCCCCCTCAGGCTACATCTCTCGAGGGAGTGCAAATTAAGATGCTTTAACCTGTCACCGTATTCAAGGTTCCTAATGCCCGGGATTAGTCTTGTCATTCTCCTCTGAATTCTTTCTAGGGATTCTACATCCATTCTTTAGTGCGGTGACCAGAATTGAACTGCGTAATCCAAGTGGAATGGAACCTGTTCATAACCCGGGGACCCCCTGTACTGTATTATTTATCTATGTCTTGGTAATTTTGGTGTTAATCTCAGGAGACAGGTTAAGGAAGGTTAATGGGGCATTATTCTTCTGTGGTAGTACTGTACTATACAGTCTGCTGAGATTACCCCTGGGCTATGCTAAGCATTCACATCGTAGATCTACAAAGTGTAGGAAGAAGTATAAAGAATGTAATAATTTTCATTTTCTTGCTCTGCTGTTGGTCTTGAGAACAGTTATGAGAGGGAATGAGTCCTCAGATGTAAGTACAGTAAGTCTGCTCTTAACGTCGTCCTTAACGTTGTTTCGGTACTACGTTGCTAAACTTTAGAGACGAAAAATTTGTTTACTGTCCCGGTGAACCAATACTACGTCGTTTTGCGTCATCACAGACTACATTTTACGATGCATCACCCTCTCTCATCTGGCTGTGCTATGCTCTCTCGGCTTGGCACAGTCTCGGTGACTCACCACCCTCCTCCTCTCCCACCCTCCTCCGCTCCCGCCCTCCTCCTCCTATCCCGCCCTCCTCCTCCTATCCCGCCCTCCTCCTCCTATCCCGCCCTCCTCCTCCTATCCCGCCCTCCTCCTCTACTCCCGCCCTCCTCCTCTTCTCCCGCCATACTCCTCCCCTCCCACCATCCTCCTCCTCCGCTTCACTACCCACCACACACTCGCTCTACCACCTCTGCCCATCGTTGAGTACCAATACAAACTTAGTACCAGTAGTTGTATATGTATGCATTATTTTCTACAGAAATGACATTGATTTTCTGTATATATGTAATGTATTTCATGGGGCAAAGGGAGGCTCAGAAACATAACTCCCATAATGTATCTACGGTATTTCTTATGGGGAAAAATTGTTTCACTTAACGTTGTTTCGTATAACGTCGTGTTTTTAGGAACGTAACCCCGACGTTAAGCGAGGACCCCCTGTACTGTAACTAACCAGACTGTGGCTGTGGTAAAGCCAGCTGTTGTCTATATGAGCAAAGACTACGCTCCCTTCCTTTAAATCATCTCTTAAAAATATCTGTTGTCTAGGTATTAATATTTCTTGTAATACCTTAATACTGTACAACCCATGTTGTACTGCTCCCCTATTATACTTATGTTTTTCAATTCCACTGTAACTTATGTACATATATGTACTTATAATATAAATAAAAAAATGAAATAAAAAGTAATAAATAAACAAAATTAATAAATATTGAAGTGATAACTGTGGTAACATTATGAGATGTTCTTATTACTACCATGCTATTGTACTATTCCAGATGATACTAAATGTTACATAATACTTCCTTGAGATAAATGTATAGTATATGTCAGGTGCCTCAAAGAGAGCTCAGGTTCTCAACTGGCTCAGCCATGTTAATATTGTTATTATTATCCACTCTGTATCTGTGTTTTTCTGACTAAATAAACTGTTTCAATTCAATTCAATAAACACAAAAAAATAAACTACAGTATTAAAAATATGTTACATACTCATAGATTTATTGATACTTTATATCACTTCTTTTTCAAATTTTCTACTATTTTTCCCCAGCTGTGAGATGTTGTTTTAAGGATAAGGAAAGTTGTAGGTTTGCCTTTTTTTATTTATTTATTATTAGTGTTTTTGTTTTTTTATAAAGGATTAATTATTATTTTGATATTTTACTGGAGAATTGATGCTCTTCAGGAATGCAGTTAGGAAACAAATATGGATTTAAATGGTTAATTCTTCAGTTCGTTTTCACCAATTCTCCATTGAGATTGTGTTTTCCTTATACTTTTAGTCACCTGTCTTATGAAGTGGAAGGCAACAAGGGTCTGAGGATCAAGTTCCACCTGAAAGGTCAGCGAAGAACAGCAACAGCTAATCTTGATGCTCGGGAGGTTAGTGTGTTAATGTGGTCAACTGTTCCTCGGTGAAGCAGACTTCATAAGACTCCAATAGTGGACCACAGGAGTTGAAGACATTATTTTATAACCAGTCACCCTCAGTAGTTACGGACTCCACACTAAAAGTTTGGTTCATCTAAGGAACTTTCGCTAGTACAGTACAGTATTTATGAATGTAGCGCCACTTTGTTCAGCCATCTTCAAGGGTCATGGTAGTTAAAACTGTTTTTTTCTGTTCATTATTTATATGCATAATTTATATTATTTTTTATATATCAGAAGAATGTTTCCAATTCTTCTGACCTTTTATGATAATTTCCTGTAACTAATACATACAGTACTAAGTAACTATAAAAGTCTAATATCAGACCTTGTTACAGACTTCCTCTGGTTGGGAGTTCCGATACTTGTTTGTGCAACTTGATTCATACCCATATGAAGTCATTGTGATCGAGGACAACCGGGGAACAGTATTTGACTCTTCCTCATCTGCGGAGTTGTCCTCCCTTCCTGGCACCTAACCAACACTACACCATGATGACACCTCTGCACTTACACCACTGTTTTCCTCAAAGTACTGTAGTCAAGTTTTTAATATTAAGTGTTTTATAAATTTTCTATGGACAACTTATTGGTGTGTTGTGTTTGATAAACTGTTTGAATTATATAATGTGTAAACACATGATGTACAAAATGATTACTTAACCTTCAGCTTGTTGCTTTGTGGCATTAAGGGGATTTGGGATTATTATTTTTTAATTTAGATAATTTTCCAGGTGTAGCTGTTGCTTATACAATGACCCCCCTCCCCCGTCATATCATGTGGGCCTAATGGGGATGTGTTGTGATGATTTTCAAATTACATACACAACAATAATGCAGTAATAGTATTTTTATATTTTTAATATAACATACAACTCACAGGTGGGGAACAGCTGGAAATTTTCCCCCTCAGTCTGGCAGCGAGATCTAGGGGTACGGTAGACAAGCCCAGGCTGAAGGACGTGTAACAAGTGTAATGATAAGTAGAAAATTGCATAGTGTGATAATGGTTGTGTATTGCTCAAGTTTTTCAATAATTTTCAGGTTATCAAACTTTTCCTTTCCGTTTTTCCTGACGTGAACGCATCATTAATTAAAATAGACAATGGGACCACACTGAGAATGACTGACAACTGATGTTTATGGCAGTGTGTTTAAATGCTAACTGACTTCCTGTGAGTGGTAGTGCTGTAGCTGTAATTTTGGCACCCATTCGGGAGGGGGGGGGACTACATTTTTACTTGTGTACAAAGAAATGTATATTCCCTTTATGTGTTTGCCCTTAGGACAATTATTTCTTTTACCTGTATTGTATATATGTGTGTGTGTGTGTGTGTAGACACACACGCACAAAGCACATACAAATAAATAATATTGTAATGGGAAAATAATCACAAATAATCAGAAACAAATTTATTAAAAATGTGAGTCTACCCTCAAGTCTGTGCTCTATTAATAAAGTAATAAAGCACGAACCTGAGGGAAGATTGTTACATTTTTAATAAATTTGTTCTGATTATTTATGAGAGGATTTTCCAAATATTATCTATTTGTATGTGTTTTGTGTGTGTGTGTGTAGACACACACACACACATTTACAATACAGTTTAAGGAAATTACTGTCTCTAGAACGAATGGCTCCCTGTCCCAGCCGCAAAAATTCTGGCATCTTTAAAACTACCCACAGACATTCTTGGGTACATCCTGGGTGTCATCCGCGAATAATAGAGGGCTGCGAAATAAAGATCCGCGAACTTGGGTGGCCCCCTGTACTGTAATCAGTTCTTTTTTTTTATGCCTAAACTATTGGTCCAAATGTTAAGAAACTTCTACACAAAATTTATTTTACTGTGACAAACTTTCAATAAACAGACTTAGCTTCCTGAAATAGTTTTGTAAATGGTCCCCCAAATTACCTTAAACCTGATGCTTAATATTTCCATTTGGAATATGTTGTTATGAAATACAGTATAGCTGAACTGTCACCTCTAGTTGCTACAGATCAACTGGGGATTCTTCATGCAACTCTTTTTGATGCTAAACATCTGAAATAAAAGTTTATATGATGAATTTAAGATTGTCTCTTTTTATCTTGCTGAGGAAGACTAAAAGGCAGGATGTTTTGGTGGTGCTGTAAGTAGAACATGTGTATACATTATAAAGGAGTGAGAGATTTGTCAATGCTGTAAACATTATGCAGTAATTGTGTACATTGCAGATGCACATTGTACATAAAGCATCCATGCTTGGTACCTAACTTGTGAATTATTGAGACTCCGTGTAGTATCTGCTCTATGTAAATAACTATTTTACAGAATCCTCTTGGTCCCAGACTCTTTGCTGTACTGTACAGTATACTGTACAGACATGTAACAACTTGAGATGTTAGGTTAAAGTACATCACTATACAGCACAATATCCACTTTATTTGAGTAGCAAAACCAGATACATTGCTTGAATTTAGTTTTACAAAGCAATATAGTTGTATGAAGGCTATATACACTATTTTAATTATATTTTCACTCAACACTGTTAACCTTTTAAGGCATTTTACATCATACTACCTTATGGAGTACAGTACTTTACCACAAACTTACAGTAAGGCTGCACACATACTGATGGTAAACAGAACAACAGTTACAGAAAGTGTAGGAGAGACCTATGGTCTTATTACATGACTTGTGAAATACATTACTGTTGAAAATTACTTTTCCTCCAGTTGATGGAAAGCTAACTGGTACAGTATACAGTACATATCTTATACTGAATATATTGTCAATTAATATTGTTTTAATCATATCCCTCCACTTGTGCTCTATAGGCATAGGAACGTTTCCTTCCAAAGCTAAGCTCTTTTTGGGGGAGTGTACTGAACATGGCAAATTAAATTGCAGTCTAAACTTTTATTTTCCTGGGTGGGGGAGGCACTTAATGTAAAATATTGCACTCTGAATATTAGGGGGTGTTGCTGGTGCTCCCTTGTTTCCAATGCCAGTGTATTGTTAGTTAAATGCATTAAGTAGTCCAGTAAATATTGTAGGTGAGGTGATTGTCAGGTGATCAACATAGAGCTTCCATGAGACCAAAAACTGGACACCTTCCCTCACTGATTGATATATATATATATATATATATATATATATATATATATATATATATATATATATATATATATATATATATATATATATATATATATATATATATATATATATATATATATATATATATATATATATTATTTTTTTTCCCAGATAGGTGATGTCATATTCACAGATCATGTATACGATATAGAAAATGTTATATGATATATACAGTAAATTACTATAAAGGCAAAAGTTTCAGTTATATAAAATAAAGCAAAGGTTTCCATACATCTGAGGACCGCTCACCTGCAGGAAGCTAATTTTCATGTTGAAATTTATTAATAAGTACTTGGTGTACAAGTGCCTTGAGCATCACAAACCACTAGTAAATCACTTCTCCAGAAAACTTAAGAAAATATACCAGATTATGCATAAATATTCCACCAATTAATATGAAGTACAGTACTGTACTGTAGAGTATATAATTTTATTAAGCAGGGTTTTCCAACAGTAGTTCCAGCAAACACAGTGAATGTTTACTCTTAACATTACATACAAAATTATAACCAAACAACTTCTACTGTATATAAAGAAATTCTCTTTTTTTTTTATAGTTTGTAACAATATTGTACATTTTTATCACACTTAACTGGGTAGTCAGGTTTGGATATCTTGTAATCATTCACCGATTATGTAATTTTCAACAATATGTTTTGTTTGTCTTATTTTGAAGTACAGTACAGTACAGTAGTCTAAACACCTAACTGTAAGCTTTATTCCTCCCCCACTTTATCTCTGGTTTAGATAAAGGGAAACAAACACCCCAGGAAAGGGGAAATTGTCCAAGTTAAAACACAATTAAGTACAAATTCTGTATCTTTCTAAAATAATTGTCATAAATGAGAGTAAATATGTCCAATTTAAAGTACAGTACAGTACAAGGATTCCCAGAACAATGAGCTGTATACAGGGTAATAGATATACTTGTACTACATTCTCTTAGGGTGGATATTTCATTAATTTATACGTTCTACAATTTTAGATCAATGATGCAGTAAAAGCTTCACTCCTTTATGTACTGGCATATAAATAAGCTCCTCTGGAGGGAGATGCATTATCACTTACTTATCTAAAAAAAAAAAGTTCTTAACCTATGTATTATCACAAAATACATTCCAGATTTTAGTTAAATACGCTACAGTAGTTTAGTAAGTACTGTACAGTACAGTATATATCAATTTCCTTTGTGTGGAAATAGAAATAAACACCTACTTAATTATCTCGCAACAACATAAGTACAATTCACTAGTTATGTGAACAACAGACATTCACTACACAGCACCACAATCATTTTTGCCCACTTGAGTGTCACACTACTGTATATACTGTATATGAATTACATACAATAATAAAATGATACCTTAGGCTGTATAATTGTAAGGTATACATTATTAATACCTTTAATATTTAGAAATATCATTTGCTGTTCAATTGTAGTAGACATACAGTTCAGCATTTGGTAACTAAATTATTAAGCGCAGTGTGAGATCTAAGTAAATCAAATGTTAACTGGTGTCAGAGCCTCGGAAGACTCTGACCGTCACTGTGGTGATGGGCAGAGGACGTGTTTACTTTTTCTGTGAGAGATGAAATAGCAGCCATCACTTCATCCAGACGAGTTTCGAGGCCAGTGAGACGGTGGTTAGCGACAGCATATTCTTTCTCGAGAACCACATCTTTTGCAGCTTCAATATGGGCTTCCTTGAGATGGAACGTGTGACAGTCACAGACACTCCAGCGTTCAACGTCACGGTTGGGGTACATGGTTATGTAGTGCTTATCATTAAGGCAAGACTGAAACATGAGTGTCCGCCGCCCCAGCCAGTTGAGCAGCCTCATTACTGGTTCGAGAGTCCGCACAGGACACAAAGTGGCAGTCTCTCCCTTCTCACAGCATTTGATTGGTCCTGGGACTATTTGCTGCAATGGACTTCCCAGAAATACAGATTCAATATAGGAAATTAGTTCAACACGACTGCTAAAACTGACAATTTCAGCTTCCTGCTGGATTTGTTGGATATCGCTGACAGCCAGACCATTAAGGAGGTTCATTAAGACAAGAACTATTAGGAATACAAACAACACAAATAAGAGGTGAGAGGATACAGGGAAGGCTGAAAGGGGTAATTCTGAATACTCTAGCTCACCCGTTGTCATAGCAATAGTTTTAAGCAGTGACTGGTGGTATGTCATGAAATTATCATCAACTTGGAACACCAGATAGAAGCTGATGCTGAATGCTATGATCATGAAAGGCATGATGATAAACTTGAGGAAGTTATAAGTGACTGTTGTGAACATGGTGATGTACACTGCAAGATAAGGGTGACGGCCAAGTAAGAGAATGAACTCAATCCAGGAGAAGAGTATGAGCCAAGCAGAGAGACTTTGTAGTGATCCAGCACCTATTGGAATGAATAACAGAATAGTAGTGAGCAAAACAATTGAGATTTCCAGCCAGTTCTCCAGGCGTGAGACATAGAGCTTCCATGAGACAAAAAACTGGACACCTTCCCTCACTGCTATATAGAGTGCAAAGAGTGAAATTAAACCTTTCAGGATATATTTGACAGTCATGCTCTCCATCATTTTCTCTCTGACCATCTCCAAATTTGTTGCAGTGCTGTTGGTATCTGGCACCTCTGTATTATTCTGTCCAGTTTCTTCTTCTGATGCAGGGATAAATGAGCCATGGAAGATCAGAATATAAGCTGTGAGAAGAATGAGGAAGGCTGTGTAGGCAAAGATATTGAAAAAGTAATATTGCTTAATTCTCTGCCACTTAAGGAAAAGGAAAGTGTCGATGATGGGATGGAGCAGTAGTCGCCTGTGTTTACGTGATGCACTTAGGAACCGTAGACACTCTGTTTCTGGCTGTTGAGAAGACTGTGATGGAGCCAGCATGCTATAGCGAAGGATTATTTCAAAGTCACGATCGGCCACATTACGGTTGTGTTCAATACATTCATTAAGAACTTCCTCGAGGACTGATGCTTGGATTCGAGTAATTGCAAGAGTTCCAAACTTGTTCTTGATGCCTAAATTAGCTCCATTCAACAGCAAAGTACGAACAAAGCTTTGATCATCACAGAGGACAGCGTAGTGGAGAGGTGTGCAGCCAAAGCTATCTTGGGCATCAATGTCTAAATAACGCCTCTCTTTCAGGAGTAGTTCTAGACACTTGTAATAGTTGACACCTTCATTCTTTAGTTTATATTCTCTCTTTACCACTTTGTGCAGAGGAGTTTCTTTTAGTAAGTCTGCTTGCTTCAGTGCCCCTTTCTCCAATTCACGCCCTTCTCTTAAGGATTTTATGAGCATTTTCACTATCTCGTGATATCCATTTCTGGTATATACAGGATTGGGGTATTATTGTTGGTGTCATCTTTTCTGGATGGATTAGCCCCATTCTTGAGTAGTTCCTCAACAAAATCAGGAAGTCCTTTGTCACATGCATACTGTAGAAGTGTATACTCTCCGTGGTCCTCTTCCAGAATGGAAGCCTTAGACTTTTCCTCAGAACTGTTAATTTCATCAAGGATTTCTCTAAAGAGGTCTAAATCATGATTAACTAGGGCATCATATAACTCCTCACTGAAATATCTTTGGGGTTTTTCAATCACAGAAAAATCAATTGTGTCAAGAAGACAGGGTAAATTCTTGTTGATGACATCACGAGCTGTTTTTCTTCCAACGGCAGCGTCAACATTAGCTCCTTTGAGAATCATTTGACGTGTCATGTACTCCCAACTCTTTGTAGCGGCCATAAAGAGAGGTGAAGATTTTTTACTGTCTACAGTGTCAACTTTAATCTTATTGCAAGAGAGAAGAGCATCAAGACATGCTTTAAAGTTGTCCTCGTTAGTCTTCAGCGAGTAGCCAAGATGTGGAGGGATGTCGGCGTATTCTCCCTCCTTTGCATTAGGATCTGCCCCTGCTTTGAGAAGTGCTTGAAGGATTTCTATGTTGCCATTATTTGTAGCATAATGTATTGGACAATACTTCCTGCCACTCTGAAGATCCTGTGGATATACAGATGAAAGTTTTGATTAATGGAGAATGGTACTTGAGCACCTGTGAAAAACAAAACTAGTCAATTAATCCAATGATGACTAAAATTCTGTGTGTACTGTACTGCAATGTCTGTCAGTGAAAGAAAAAGTCCATATCATCTCTCTCTAATGATTACTGTAATTTATTGTTCAGTTTATGAAATATAACAGTGAAACCTCCATATTATGGATTTCTGTCTTCATATAATCCGTTAGATGGGGAGTTTCTTATCTATGAGGACCCTCAATATAATGGACTTTCATCTCTTTATAACTATTTAGATGAAAATTTCACATCTAACAGACCCTCAAAATAACTGATTTTTCTTTCCATGTAGTCTGTTTCAGTGGTGGGCACAGTTACGCTAATCCGCTAACCGCTAATTAGTGAAGCTAACTTTCTCGTTAGCGGATTAGCGTTTTTAACGTTGGAAACCATTAGCGGACCAATTAGCTTCCACTAACTTTAAGTCCGCTAACAAAATTTATACATGTTTGTTCCTGTCTGTTGTAAGCGTGTGGCGCCGCGGCGCGTGTCTCCAACAGCCAGTCAGGCACGCTTGGCTGACTGCGTGTTAGTACGTGTAACGTGAATGGAATTTTTTTATTATTAAAGTTTAATTCTTTTTTTTTACAGTAAATAAAGAATGTCAGTGTATGTTGAAAGAAGCATAGAATGTAATTGTAAACCAATGTATAATTTCATTTCTCATTTATTTGTTAATTTAATTAGGATTTTTTTGTGTCAATATATTTGGTTATGCTAAGTACAGGTTGTACCTCTCTAGTCCGGCAACCTCGGGACCTGACTGGTGCCGGACTATGGAAATTGCCAGACCATGGAAATTCACCCTTTTCCTGGATAGATAGTGACTTGTGCTTATGCTTGGAAGCACTAGCACCACTTTCTCTGCATCATAGTCTCTTTGAAGACATGTTGAAGGGTTAAATGTCGTATAGTAGCTTCTCAAATTTCGCGAATTTTTAATTCTTTAACGTATTTTTTGGAAGACAAAAAAAATAAATAAAAAAAATTTTGCCGGCGGAAACTTGAATTTGACGGGTTTGAACTGCCCAGCAGTGCAGGCAGCGTGCATAATCGTGTAAACAGCGTCATTTTCTCTTATGTACAAAAGATTCATTATTGTTTATTACTGAATGTCTTTTATTTAATTAATGTTTATGTGTGCAAAATGACAATACAATTCATTAATATCGTAGAATATTAAAACACAGCGAGAAATGACACAGCATTGTTTTCGTTGATTACAAAGGCAGTGACTGACTGGTTCTACATATAAAACTGAAAATAAGGCCTTGGTTGTAGCTGTAGTAAAATTAATATGGTTGTTTTAAGTAATGTTATTTAATGTTAATAAATGGAACAATAGAAGTAGCTAACGATAATGGTAAAGAAAAAGAGAGATCGCGTATAAGTGCGCATATACACGTGAAAACATATCGTCATTACTTTACATACTAATATGAAAGCAACACTTATTTACTGTTCATATATATTTTAATTAATGTTTCTGAATTTGTTTTATTGAATTAATGTTTGTGTGTGCAAAATTAATAATACAATTACAAGTATTAATACACGGGAATATTAGAGGAGACGAGACGGCTGCCGGCATTGTTTATGTTAGCTACTAAACCAGTGACTGATTGGTTCTACATATAAAACAGAAGAAAATAAGATCCTGATTTTAGCTGTAGTAAAATTAATGTAAAAAATTAATATGGTTGTTTGAAGTACCTGTAATATTATTTAATGTTAATAAATGGAACAATATAAGTAGCTGACCATTAATGGTAAAAAAAAGTGAGATCTTGCTGTATGTAAGCAAGACACATGTGAAACATATCGTTATTACTCTACATAAGAATATGAAAGCAACACTTATTTACTGCTCATATATATTGAAGGGTTAAATGTTGTACTCTGTATAGACAAGCAGAGAGAGAGCAGCCAACTGCGGATGTAAACAAACCTAATTCCCGCGGCTTTGTTTTTTTTTTGTTTTTTTAAGGGATTAGTCCACCCGGCATAGGTCGCTGACCCACATTGGGCCTGAGGCAAAAATTTAATACTCCTGTAATAATAATAATAATTCAGATAAAAAAAAAAAAAGCTGCCTATCTACCTATTGGACAAACTAAAATCGTTCCGGACCACAGAATGCCGGACTAGAGAGGCACAACCTGTACTGCATAAGTTCATAACCAAGATGTCATCCAAGGTGTGTGCCAAACAAAATTTTCTTAAAACTTACTTTTCATTAAAGTTTAGAGTTTTCTGTTTATGTACATGACTAAGACCAACAATAAGTTATATAAAAATGCACTGGTATAATGACTAAGACCAACAATAAGTTATATAAAAATGCACTGGTATAATGACTAAGACCAACAGTAAGTTATATAAAAATGCACTGGTATAATGTGTATGTGGTTGGTATTGCATATTTACATGAATAATGCCGATATGTTGTATGAGAATGCAAATTAATTACAGTATTTGTGAAATTGTGTACAGTGTACACCTTGATAAGTCAATCATCATCTGATCTTGGCATGATGCTATTTGCTACCTATGCTATACAGTACAGTACTATAGTTTTGGATTCGTTTAATACTTTCTGTCTTTTTGTACAGTAAATAAAGATTATAAAGTGTATGTTGAAACTTGAATGTAAACTAATGTTTAATTTCATTTGTTCATTTAATTATTTGTGTACACCTTGATCATCATCTGATCTTGGCATGCTATACCTTTTGGAAAGCTCTATGTCTAAGCTACAAGACAACATATGAAAATTTCAGCTCTCAGGTCTGGTTTATGGTTTAGAGCCCCAAAAAAAACCAGAAGCTAAATTCATATAATAAAAGTTAACGGTTAGCGTTAGCTAACGCTAATTTTTTTAGCGGTTTAGCGTTAGCTGGTTAACTTTTTAGTTAGCGGATAGCAAAGCTAACTTTTCGTTTAGCTGTGCCCACCACTGGTCTGTTTAATAGAAGTTTCACTGTTGTACAGGGTCCTGACTTAACCAGTGACTGTCATAATAAGTCCCTCTGTTCAAATAACTTTACTTTTGTGTTGAATCAAAATAATGTATCTAAGGTAAAGAAGGGAAGATAAATGACAGGTGAGGGAAGAAATAATTAGAAATGAAGGACAATATGAGGAATTAACTGGAAAAATGAGGTGTATGAGAGGGAAGAAATATAGAACACTGTGTACGGGTGAAGAAATGAGGTAATGTACTGTACTGTATAGATGAAAAAACTCTGGTATGTGTGGGAACAAGGGCAAGAAAAAGAGGAGGTCAAACAAAATTATGTGAGAAAAATAAACTTGGTATCACTGTATTAACTCATACATATAGAAAAGTATGATGTGGGTATAATACTGTGCTGTACTTTTAGGTCTTGATTATACAAGGGTTATATTTTCCCAACATCTCACATACAGTAACTCAAATTTGCATAAATTGAATACTTAGTTGTATGGAGAAACATGGGATGTGTTCCAGATCCTTATGTGGACCTTTTCCAACCTGTATTTTGGCACATTTTTATAACACTAAGGGTACGTTCACTCGAGCGTACATTTTATTGACAACATATGATCCCAGAGTTAGAAACCTGTACCTCCTTTCATCTTGTCGATCACATGCTGGTGACAAAATGCATGCTCGTGTGGATGCACCCTGATGCACTAATATAGAGTTAAAAACTTATTCAATGTAATATTATAATTATTTAATACTACTTTAACCCCAATCAGGGTTCCCCAGAACACAAATGTTCCATGATCATCTTTTAAGGGTTTTGCAAAATTCACTGTCTCTAATTCAAATCTTTGTCTCATTCCATATCCATTTGTGTACAGTCTATTACTTCAGCTTCCCTTACACACTCAGTATTGTACCTAGACATCAGTCATATCTTGTCTTTCCCTTCAACCTCATCTGTGTACTGTGCCTTAGTCCCTTTAACTCACCAGACCTAACATTGGATAACCATAGTTCCTGTACCAATAAGTTTTACTTATGCACCCAAGCTTATTTTTCTTGTAATTCAATTGCCTAAGCATTAACCTCTTGTGTACAGGGCCCCTCTGAGCTGAATAAAATCATCTGGCATTAGCCAAATAAAATATTAAAAGTGTCATCCCTGTAGTGAAAGGGTTAAGATCATTCCTTGTTTCCTAAATCTCACGGGCATATTCTGTGCAACACTTATCCCTCACAGTTCACATATGCACCATGGCATATTTTATTTTAATTTAAACCAAATACAAACCCGAGCATTGGGATCAGCTGCAGCCTGCAAGAGGACTCGCACTAGTTCGACGGATTCATTCTGTGTGGCAACATGGAGAGCTGTGGCAGACACTGGATGTGGATAAACATGGTTCACGCCTGCTTTGCTGGGAGTTGCTTCAGTTAATCGTAGCTTCTCCTCGTCACCTGTAATTACGAATGCAGCATTTTAAATACCTGTACTGTACTGTACAGTACAGTATATGTGAGGCTGTGGACAAGAAACACACAATGGTTTGTTATACAGAGTATTATTGTTGTTTTTAGAATAAAACTCAAATAAATTGCTAGTCATTTGTAATGCTGTATTGTATTGTTTCCTCGTACTATATTAACAAATGTATGGTTCCAAACATTCTAATCTTAGAGAGAAGACTGGGCAAAAAATAGCAAATAAAGATACTGAATCATGTACATATACATTTGTACAGCTTTGAATATTATATAATTATATACAAGCAGTCAAACTTCTAGCCCACTTGATATATATATATATATATATATATATATATATATATATATATATATATATATATATATATATATATATATATATATATATATATATATATATATATATATATATATATATATATATATATATATATTATATATATATATATATATATATATGTTTTTTTTATATATATATATATATATATATATATATATATATATATATATATATATATATATATATATATATATATATATATATATATATATATATATATATATATATATATATATATATATATATATATATATATATATATATATATATATATATATATATATATATATATATATATATATATATATATATATATATATGATGAGAGAATTTTAATGCTCTCTGCTGTATTGTATTTACAAATACCACATACCTAATTTCAACTTTCACATCAATTACAAATACTGTACCATAGAGAACCAATTTTGATTTTCATATAAATTACAATACCACAGAGCTAACTTTAGTTTTAATTAATTTACAGTACTTACAAATCCTGCAGAGCCAAATTAATAGCATCACTCTCTGGTACAGGGTGTAAACAGCTCCTGGCAGGTGAAGGGAGAGCTCAGTACTAACCTGTTTGGACAGCGACGAGCATCTCCTGTACATAATGGTCCTCCACATCACCCCCAGGAGAGCCGCCCCCCTGCATGGCTGTTCCTAAAAGAGAACGGTGTGTTAGTTGTACCAAATAGGGAGAACTTAAGAATAATGACAAGGTGAAAGAGAACGTTGTAATAGTCAATGGAAATGGGGCTAACTAAAATATATGATTGACCTGAATGAGAACTGTGAACTGTGCATAAAAAAATGAGGGAACTGTCGTAATGTGTAAATTTAGAGATGAAAATTAAGTACTATTTATATGGATATGCAGGGCCGTCCCTTGGAGGGTGCGGGGCCCAAAAAAAAAAAAAAAAAAAATATATATATATATATATATATATATATATATATATATATATATATATATATATATATATATATGTGTGTGTGAAGGTAACAAACCACACTTCATGGAGACTTTTAAAGTTTATTATGGAGTCAGATTATGCGGTCAGAGGAACCCACCCCCACCAACCCCCATGGGACTGTCGCTATGGATGGTAAGGTCACGGTTACGATGGTGGCGTAAGCCATCAGGTCAGATTAACCAGTCAACAGGTAATATGTCCTAGGTCACTGGGTCTAGTGCTGGCCCCGGGCGGTCGCCTCTGTTCGCCCCCCAAAGGACGGGCCTGTGGATATGTATTGATGAGCATAAATACCAAATTAAAGTAGATGTGCGGAAATTAGCTTTTGCTATAGATGCTTTAACTGCCAGGGTTGCTATAGATGCTTTAACTGCCAGGGTTACTATAGTGCGTTTTTTCTCAAGAGTTACAGCTGATTGGCCATTACAAATATGTCCGATTTCATCCTGAAGTCATGATGTATTTCTAAATGAGTTTATTCATAATCGTTGGGATGACAATTTCTGACGAGAAAGATATTTAGCTAAATTATATAAAGATGCATACGTTCATTATTTCAAACATAAGCACGTAGGAAGTTTATCAGAAATCTTAAACATGAATAACTGTTAAACTATGGTAGCAAATTCACGCTTTCGGAGGATGCATTTAATATATACTTATTTTTACCACAATAAGGCATATTAAGACAAATTACGTATAAGTAATACTATATTATGCAAAAACTAACATTTCAAAAGATCAGAACCACACAGAAATATTACAAGGCCGTTAGCAGAGGCGAGAAATATGAAGTCGTTCGCAATCATATTAAAAACTCAGAATAAAATGATGTCACAGTTTTAATGGAAACAAATCCAGGTGATCTCTAGGAGGGTAAATGTATGGTGGGGGTATACAGTTCCAATGTAAAACCTAGACTTTATACATATGCTGAACTGTATGCCACATAGTCTATACTTACTATGATTTAATGAATTAATAAATATTATTATTATTATTATAGTCATTATTTTTTTTAACCAAGAGAGACTAAATTATGTTTACGGTCTCGAATGTTCTCACGATCAGTCATGTTACTAATGGCGGGACGAACGAAGACTGGCGTGTGTGATAGTGGTCGTTTAATGTCATGTGTTTCTCGAAATGTTGCTCGTCACTGGTGACTGTGATATATGAAAGCCACGGCGTCCTGTAACAAGGTATAAAATGGACCAAATTTGAAACTAAAGGAGTAAGTGAAAGGCATGGAGGAATTCCGCATCATAGCTACAAGAGAAATAAGTGGGTAGGGAACCAACTATCAGCAGGTAAGCAAGTACAGTACGTAGTTCCTAGTAAGATTACGTGGAAATCGTATAATAATGTTTAAATGAAGCCTAAGTTTAGGTAGGTAGGTTAGTGTGGTTAATTTTGTAGGGTGGCCATTATAAAAAAGGACATTTTTCTATTTATTTTTTTTGTGACACCTATTTTTTAACCTAAATTAAGCATGTTTAATGATGAGTTGAAAATATATAAAAAGTTGCATAAAATATACAAAATATACTTAGAATAATTGTTGATTTGTCAAATATCACTATAATGTGATGATTGCTATTTTGTGGTAATTTTTCTAAAACTTAACTTTTTTGAAACGCACAGTATATATTACATACATGCAACGCACAGTATATATTACATACATGCATTCATACAGTATAAATAAAGAACTGAAAGAAATGAATATTAATTTTTACTCGTGCTGAAACAGCATATGCTAACCAAATTGAAGCAAGAATAAAAAAGTCAACCATTCTCCATTTGACTCATACTGTTGTACACTGGGGCTCGCTCATCAGCAGTATTGACAACGGCAACTACATATAATAAAAATACGTTAACGGTTATTATAGCCTTCAGTTCCCGCTGTTTTAAGTATACCTAACGTAATTTATATAATTCTTTTTAGTCAGACAACAAAAAGGAGGACAAATTAACGTCCGGCTTGAGGTAGCGCCGGACGGAGGACAGAGTGCTCAAAAGCCGGATGTCTGGCCTTCCTATTTATGAGCGATATATAAGGAGTTTGCAATAACAAGGGCGTATCACCATGGTTCTCGCTTTCCTATATCAGCCCATAGATTCAGACTCGCCGAATGTTAACCAAAGTGCTCGTGGTTTTACAATATTGTCCTCGATTTTACTCACTTTGTTAGTAATTCATATGTCTTGTACTGTACATGAGTAGCTGAATGGCTGTTAACTCGTTATGATTAGAAACCTTTAAACCATGTTGTTTCTCTTGCCTAGCCATCCTTATTTTGATGGAATCCTGAGCTTTTCTATTTTTATGTATAAAATTCAAGAGCTGAGGGAAAACGAATGTGTATGTTATGAAAACCATCGACGTAACAAGCCAAAGTAAACCTAACGATCGCTACAACTGCTGATTGGTCACTTGCCGCCCGCTTACCAGCTACCAAACAGGGAGGTACTACCGCCTGGGAAGATATTGGAAGCATAATGTGTTGTCTAATGGTAGACCCTGCTGCTGCCTTATGGCATCACGAAAATTATGACCAAGTCCCAGGTTGGTGATCTGACTTTCTGCCTCATTTACACACAATTGCAGGGTCTCAATTGTTTCTCTTTCTTTGACAACACAACATACATACTGTACATTATTTCTCACTCTTGATCTTTTTTTCATTTTTGTATTTCCTTATTATTATTATTTTTTATTATTATTATTATTATCATTATTATAATTATTATTATTATTATTATTATTATTATTATTATTATTATTATTATTATTATTATTATTATTATTATTATTATTATTACCTTTTTTCGCCCTCAGGCCCGATGTGGGTCAGTGACCTGTGCCGGGTGGGCTAATCCCTGTAAAAAAAAAAAAAAAAAAAAAAAAATCGGCCCTCGTGTTCGAACTGCGTGGTGATTGGTCAGTTCCCGCCTTCATCTTAGCCAATCAGCAGCATTTTTCATCTTCGCATTTCGAGTCTTGATCCGGCAGAATGATATAAATACCCCATGTCTTGCTCCTTCTAAAATTCACTTCTATCCTTCCCCTGAACCTCTTTCCCTCCTGTCACTAGGTTTTATGTATGTATGTACTTGGTTACTTTCATTCATCAGCAAGCCTTAGTCGTGAACGGACCTCTCTCAAGACCCTTCACTGCCAAAGCCAGCCAGCCTTTGTCTCTGACCCAGGAGCTGTAACATCATTGGTAACCGACCACCACTGGAAGCCTGTTGACGGCGACCCGCCTGTTACGGCATTAGACCACCACTCCAAGCCTGAACGCCCCTACTAGGGCACAGCGAAACCAGACAGAGGCAGCAGAACTCCCCAAGGGTAGTGTGAGTGACCCACACTCCTGCTGGAGGGCTGCTGTCGGTCCTGACGTGGTTTGGGGTCTTTCCCTCCCACTCAGTCTTTCCTCTTTTCGCTCTGGCCCGGGGACCTGTACCCTCAGAGGTGTATTCGTCCTCAGGTCCCCCTGTAAGGTTTCACCTCCCTCCCAGGAGTTTGTGAAAAGGAAAAGGGGGCCGGAGCACCACCGCCGAGCCTTCCTGGGTAACCGTGATCGGGTTTTTTTTTGTAAAGAAAGGAGGGGTGAAAAGCTTAGAGGTGGAGGAAGGAAGTTATAGTTCGGAAATTGAAGAAATTTATTAGGAGGTAAGAGAGGGCGGGCTGACCGCCTAGCTAAGCTAATAATGTGTTAGGGTTGTGTCATGGGTTAGTTATTGCCTGTCGGTACAGGCACTAGACATTCTACCCTGTCTCATATATGGGTGTTTTAAGGGCCTTATTTCATATTCCGCCGACCGTGATCGTGCGGGTCCACCCAGGGAGGGGGTTGCTGTACCTCATCCTCCCCTCCCTCCAATTAGACACACAAGGCTCGCGCCTCACATAAGCGAGCAGCTTTTACGGGGCCACCGGGAGAGACACACACACAAGCACTCATATATATACAACATACAACGAGAACGACGCAACAATGACCAGGACTACGGGTAACAGGATACGGGTGCTAAAAAAGAAAAGAGGAGTTAGGCACAATTCTATGCGCACGCCTAGGAGTCAAATTCGCCACACTAATAGAAGCAAAGGACTCCTTCCTAGTTCTTTGCATAGAAGAGAAGGATGTCGATCTCATGTTATCGACTGAATCAATCGATACACTAACAAGAGATAACTTTGAAATAGCCATCCCACCACAGCTTAGAGCTAAGAAGTCAATAATTATCAAAAGGTTGTATAAGACCATTACTAACAGATCACCAATTGAAATTTCACAAGAAATATAACAGAAAAACACATGGGCTAAAGTGGAAGAGGTGGTACTGCTTCCCAGGGCTCCAACGATGATGAAAGTGAGATTCATATAAATCGCCATGGCTCAGAAGGCACTAGAAAATGGCATTTGCATCTCCCACTACCACCTTTCAATACACCAAATTGAAAAAGAAAATTTCTATCCCATAATTCCTTGCTGGATATGTTATAAATATAACCATGTATCAGCCAAGTGCCCTAATAAAGACATAAAGTTCTGCTCGGAATGTGGAGCTGAAGGGCACACATTCAGGGAGTGTAACAGCAAAGAAAACCCCAAATGTCTGAACTGCGAAGGACCTCACCGTACTTTGGCAGCACGCTGCCCAGTAAGGAAGGACATCATTAAAGACATGAAGGAAAGGGAAAAATCGAACAAACATATACTGTAGAAACTGACCCA